TTTTGAAGAGCATAGGTGTTTGATTTTTAGAAGATCCCAGTTATCTAGCTTATCTTTTGGGGTTTGTGCATTGATGGTTATGGTTTGTATCCTGTTAAAGCTGTGTATTAAGGCCTCTGGTGTTGGTCCTATTTTTTCTTCTATGAACTTTATAGTTTTAGGCTTTATATTCAGGTCTTTGATCCATTTTGAAGTAGTTCTTGTATACGGCGTGAGGTATGGGTCCTGTTTCATTTTTTTGCAGATGGATATCCAGTTTTGCCAGCACCATTTGTTAAAAAGACTGTCTTTTCCCCATTTGATGGTCTTTGGGCCCTTGTTGAAGTCAGATCCTGACCTTTTTAAAAGGAGTCTCAGGTCCCTTTGACAGCCATTTCCAGGGTTTCAGCTGTGTGAGGCCTTCATCCCAGCCCCAAGGGCCCCAATGTTTCCCGAGCAAGAGTGCACGCACATGTACCCATGTTTGCATGCGTGTACATGAGTGCATGTATGTGTGTGCCTGTGTGAGTGTGTGTGTGAAATGTGCCTCACTCTGGGGCTTTACACTGAGAAAAATGGTGAAGGTTCAGCCCACACACCAGGAGGGCAGGGCTAGGGCTCCTGCTGCCCAAAGACAAAAAGGAAAAGACTAGGACATCTTCTCTCACCACTTTTATTTAACTTTGTGCTGGAGGTCCTAGCCAGTGCAATAAGACAAGAAAAAGAAATGAAAGACATACAGATGAGAAAGAGCTAGGCAAAGCTCTGTCATTTGCAGGTGTGTGTAGATAACCCTAAGGACCCTATAAATATCTATTACAATGAATAAGTGAATTTAGCAACCTTGCAGGACACAAAGTCAACATACAAAAATCAATTGTGTTTCTACATAATACAAATGCACAATTAGAAAATGAAATTAAAGAACACAACTCTAATAACATCAAAAATAAAATACTGAGAATAAATTTAACAAAAGCAGTACAATATACGTACACTAAAGGCTAAGACACATTACGAAACAAAATTTAAAAATACTTAAGTAAATGGAGCAATATGCCATGTTCATGGCTTGGAAGACTTCATATTGGTAGTATGGCTGCCTTCCCCAAATTGATCTAAACATTTAGTCCGATACAGATCAAATTACTCACAGATATTCTTGAAGAAATTGATAAGCTTATTTGAAAATTTACATGGAAAGGCAAAGAACTTAATATAGTCAAAATTTTTTTGAAGAAGAAAGACAAAGTAGGAGGGCTAACCTTACCTGATCAAAATTCATGATAAAGCTACAGTATTAATACTGTAAAGATGTTGTATTGGCATAAAGATGTTGTTGTTGTTAGGTGCCATAGAGTTGGTTCCAACTCATAGTGACCCTTTGCATAACAGAATGAAAAGATAACCGTATAAATCAGTGGAACAGAATACAGAGACCAGGAGTAGATGTACACTTTTATGGTTAATTGATTTTCAACAAAGATGCCCAGGTAATTAATAGGATAAAGATTGTGATGGTTAAGGTTGTGTGTCAACTTGGCTGGGCCATGATTCTCAGTGGTTTGGCAGTCATATGATGTTGTGATCACCTCCATGATGAGATTTGATATAATGTGATCACTTCCATAATGGGAACTTCCGTGAGTAGCCAATCAGTTGAAAGGGAGTTTCCTTGGGTGTACGGCCCACATCAAATATAAGTGGACATTCTGGCAAGGCTCGTGGGCTTTTGCTTGCTCTGGATCCTGCAGCTAGCTCCTGTCCATCTGACCTCTGGTTCTCGGGACTTGAGCTAGCAGCTTACCTACCATCTTGCCTACTAATCTTGGGGTTCGTTGTTCTTTGCAGCCTGTGAGCAAGAGCCCTGCTCTCTGACCTGCCAATCTTGGGTTCGACAGCCCCTGCTGCAACGTGAATCAGGAGGTCTCTGTCCCGACCCACAGACTTGGGACGTTCCAGCCTCTACAACCACTTGGGCCGTTTCCTTTATATAAATCTCTCTATATATATATTTATATGCTTTACTGGTTTTGCTTCTCTACAGAACCCAGCCTAAGACAGAGATAGTCTTTCTAACAAATGATGCTGGAATGACCGGCTATTTGTATGGAAGAAAGTGAACCTCAACCCTTACCTAACACGATACACAAAAATAATACACCTAAGTGCAAGAGGTAAAACTATTAAGCTTCTAGAAAAAATATAGAAGAAAATCTTTGTTTTGGGATAAAACAAACAGGAAAGGATAGGCAAAGTTTAAAGACACCCACTTGTGGCATTTTCATTATAACATCCCTAGGAAATTAAGACAGGAGAGGCTGACTGCAAAATGATACAAGCAAGCTTTTTCGTTTCTATACATTAATTATGGTAGTGATTATATGATTGTATACATTACTAAAATTTATCAAAATGTAGAGTAAAATGGCTGTGTTTTATTGTATGTA